AATTAATACGCTCTTGATATCATACACCTTATATAGATCCCGTTGTTCATGTAGTCTTCATAATTCCAACCCTACCTTTCGCCTCATGGGCTCTATGGGAACACGTATATGGTTGTTAATCATCACAAAATGCGGGAGGAACAAACAAACCAACTCACTTCAACTATAGTATTGGTTTTTGTGCTATTTGTTTATTTTATTTTATATTAGCGTAGTATATCGTATATACGTGATGTATATCTACAAAAGGCTCGTGGTACATAGAGGACATTTATCGGTTTGTTTAAACTATCCAACTATAAAACATTTCTTCTATTATCTTACTCCTGATTTTAATGTGTTGCTCAAAGAGAAAAGCAAGAATGTTGGGCATGGACTCTGGGCATGGTTTTTATCGACTATAACGTGTACTTTTGTAATCATCGTACCGTACGGTCCTGTCGTGGCTATATACATATCACCAGGAGCGTATTAATGAGCAAATATAAGTCATTATACGCTTTCCCATGATATCACAAGAGCGTGCTAGTCACTGTAACGACAGCCAAAGTCATGGTTAGACGATAGCGTGTTGCTGGTGATTTGGTGGAAGAAACCAGGCGCGGCGGACGACATACTCGGGCGCGCGTGCATCTTTCCACGGGATCTATACTCACCACGCTGAATACTGGCAGAGATATACGGACCTGAGATGCTATGTATCCGATCTATAATTAGAGAAAAATCCTACGTTATTATTCCACTTCTGATTATTAATCGCTGTGAGCGTCCGAACTACTTCAGATTGTAAGCAGTCGTGGCCAGGCAGCGTGACACAGAACGGTCATCAGGTGTCAGCGTGCAGTAGTGAGCCAGGGGCGCTGGATGGGCATAGTGCGGCGCTTCGCTGGATAGTAGGCGAGATGGGATGCAGGAGCCCGCGGAGTAACACGAGAGGCGGAGCTGTATATGATGAACGATCTCTACATTAAGAGTCTAGCGTACGTGTTGAACCGCATACGTTTCTGTGCCAGTTGGCAACTGACGCATCTGTCAAGAATAACCCGGCCATAGAGAGTGGAGCTATTTTGCCTCATTTAGACAAACTCCGGCAATAGTATTTAGCCGAGGAGCGAAAGAGCGAACGGACGTTGGGAGCTTTGTTACCTGGAATTCGCCGATGATGATGGGAAAACTACGTCATGTGAAGGAAGCAGATGCGGGCCAGCCATGACTAAAAGGCGCGAGGCGCGATGTGCGATTTTCAGGAGGAGAGATAATAGACGAGTTTAGCGAGTTAGAGAGTAGATAGCATGATCTACCGGTGCGAGTATTGTGGCGGCTATAGTGATTTAATTGTTGTAGAAGGGGCAGAAAACTCTTGGAAATTCGTTGGGGGAGAGAAACGCTTGCGATTGAAATAATTGATTATCTTTGATTAAATATTATTGTTGGGCATTATTTCTGAACTTATTGTGTATTCTTGAGTTCTACCAGCTTTAACTATAAAATCTAGGGAATTTACCTGTGTTGGTTTCCGGACTATCACAGTAAATAATATAATTTTTTCGGGTGCCCTAGCTGATACTGGCTTAGTGGGGCTAGTGAAAGATTCACAGGTTTTTCAACTGGCGGGTGCCAGCAGGCAGGCATACAGCGCTCTCTTATATTTTGGTCACCGTTTCCACCAACTCTATCTTCTTTTTATCGCTGAAATACTAAGCACGAGAACAGTGTTGTACCATTTTCAAGTCTTTGGTATTACTAGCACAGTAATGTCACCGCAAATGTCACTGACGAACACTATTGGACGCGTTGAAGTCAACTTCTTCAATAATAAATGCATCCTCACAGTATGCAAAGGCTCGTATTAAGGAAATAATTGACAAAAGCCGATGAACAATTCGGGGGGCTGGGGACTCCGCCGGCCGCGGGGGGGCCCGCGCGGAAGCGGAGGCGGGGGCCGGGGGCGCGCGGCCGGCGCGAAGGGGAAGAACGCGGGCCGCCCGGCGGCCTGCGCGGCCGGACGGGCCCCGGGGGGGCGGGGGGGGGCGGCTCGCGGCCCCGCGGGGCGGGGGGCGGGCCGCGGATCGGGCTCGGGGGCGGGCCGCCCGCCCCCGGCCCCCACCCCCACCCCCCCCCCCCCCCCTCCCACCACCCCCACAACCCCATCGGGCCACATAGCCGCCGGCCCGGCCGGAGGGGCCCGGCGGCTGGCGCGGTGTGGAGCGCGAGCCCCCACCCCCGTCGGCGACGCCGCCCCGCCCCCGGCCGCCCCCCCCCCGGGGGAGTGGGGAGGTGTGGGGAGCTGTGGGGGGTGAGGGGGGCGTCGTGACCAATCGGCCGGGCACGCCCCCCGTGGGATGTTGGCCCGTATACGCGATCCAGCGGGGGGGGTGGCGGTGGGCGCCGCGAGCTGCCCCGCCGGGGCCGCGCCGACGGCTGGGAGAGGGGGGGGGGGGGGGGGGTGGGGGGGCGGCTGTGTACGGTGCGTGGAGGCCGCCGGGCAGTGTGGGCGGGCTCAGCCCCCCCCTGGGCATTCCCCCCGCCCACGCCCGCCCGCCGGTGCCCCCGGCGCTCGGCCGCAGCCCCAGCAGCGACCGCGGCAAGGCCAGTCGAGCTATGCGCGCGGCCGGTACGGGGGGAGGCCCTGGGGGGAGGGGGGAGCCGGGGGTGAGGGTGGGTGGTGCGCGGAAGGGGGGGAGCGCGATGGGAGAGGAATGGATTCAGGCGTGCGCGCGGTGGCGAAGGGGGGGCCCCGGCCTCCGGTCCAGGCCCACCCCCACGGGGGGGGAGGGCCCCCGACCCCCGGCGCCGCGCGAGAGCAGGCCGCCGCGGGTCCCGATGACGATCGCCCCGAATTAAGTTGCGTGGCATGTGCGTGAGGCGGTGCGTGCGTGCGTGTGAGTGTCGTGTGTACGCGCGTGCGTGTGTGTCTGTGTGCTGTGCGCGCGTGTGTGTGCGTGGCGTGGCGCCGGGTGCGTGCGTGGCTCAGACAATGTAATAAGTGCGTTCGCCTGTATGTGCAGTCGTTTTCGTCGTTTGTAGCTTTCAGCAGTTATATCTACACAGCGATATATACTCTATAGCGTATACTTATATTCTGTCTCTACTTTTTCCGCCGTCAGATTTGGCGATATGTCAAGATACAGCCGAACGACTACCCCAGCACCCGTTGCATCCTGACTACGCAAGCCTAACCTGTTCCCGACTACAAACAGTAGTTCGTTTGCGAGTCTGTCCAAACTGCAGCGTCTTTTAATCATTGCGAGTTTTGAAAGTCCTAGAAATAAGCCGTGCGCATCGTAGTAAGTGAACACTTCATACTTCTCACCTCTACTCTACTTGCTCACAGATCACACTGTCAGTTGGAGTTATATGGTATTGAGTGTTGCGTGTTGGAATGTGTGGCATGTAGGTAGCGTACAGCATACGAAAGGTCAGTGACCGTTTTAGCTAGACGGATCAGCTATACGCACATAGTTTTCTGGTGCCGGTTGTTTTTTGATGGTTTCTCGCAATGTTAAGCGAAGGTCTAGTGGCGATTGGTGAGTTATACTGAAGAGCTCTGAAGAGTAAGCGACAAATGATGCGAGAGAGGAATAATGAGCGCAGAGAGAAAAAGAGAAATGAATGTAATGAGAGGGAGACTTTAGGGAGGGAGAAAAAGGACAAATGCATTAAGGAGCTAATAGAGGCTGATAGATAAGTGGGGGAAGGTAAAGGCGTATATATTGACGAGACAATGGATACGCAAGAAAGGAGTGATGCCGTGAATGCATGAGAATGCAACGACGAGAGAAGGAACGCTTAATAGTTCAATGTCATCAACATGTTAACACACTCAAGGCGTATATGAACTCTTTTGAATTTTTATTTGTAGCATATAGATGTGTTTAATTTCCAGCATTTTTTTTATAACATTAAAAAATCCATACCTCTTAAACGTGCTAGCGCTTTGTCACGTGGCATGTAGTCAACAAACACTAGCCGATAATATTCTTAATTATTATTTTCGTTGCCCGCAAACCAAATCGTATAATGAATTACAAATTCTCGTACGGTTTCTAATTACTTGTGTTGTGCATTTCTATGTCGTGTATTGAGACGTTGTCCTTCTATTTATTCCTTTCTATTTATTTTATTCTCTTTCATAAATTGTATTGTGTTTCTATATACTACTGTGAAATTCTCTTACCCCAATTATTCGGCAGATAACCAATATGGATACGTACACCCATCTTGCTGGCGATGACATGCGCCCTAACGAAGCCGGTGAACAGTGAATGCAAATTTGTTACCGCGAAGAAAGACTGGTCGACAACAACTAAGCGCCTAAAAATCGAATAAGTTCCGGAACACGAATAACGCGCTGCAGCGCTACAGTGGGGACACGTTTGAGTTACTACTGTGATAACTGCAAGCCGCCAAGCTAAGTCTGTCACCGACTAACAAAGACAGTGTTCGTTTCCGGACTGTCCCACACTCGTATCGCGTCTTCTATCATGCCGAGTTGGAAACGCCTAAACAGAACCGTGGAGCTCCGTAAGTAAATAACAGCTGTTCACTTCAACTTCTTACTTCTCACAGAACCACTTCAGAGTTAATATTATTATGCTTGTGTTTGAAATGGTTGCAGTGCTGTACGGTACACAATACGGAACGTCAGTAACCTTTACCGAACGAGTCAGCATTATACGCCAAGAAATTTCGCCGTTGTTTTGAGTGGTTCCTCCAATGCTTAAGCCGATAGGTTACTGTGGCATTGACTGAGTTATAGAGGAGTCTGGAGAGGTAAGCGGGACAAAATGAGTCGGAAGAGAAGAGATAAGTGATAGCAGAAGAGAAAATAGAGATGATGTAATGAGCATGGAGAGCTTAGGAGGAGATAAAAGGAACAAAGGAGTTAAGGAGCTGACTATGAGGCTGAAGAAATGCTGGAAGGTAAAGGCGATAGATGAGGAGACATTGGTACGCAAGAAAAGGAAAGTGATGCACGATGAATTCATGGGAGGCCCAGACGAGGAAAGAACGCCTTATATTTCATTCATACACATCAAGGCCGTATACTATGAAGCACATCAAGCGTCATATCATGAATCCTTTTGAATTTTTTATGTAGAACTATACATTGTGTCTTAATTCCACAAATTTATTAAGCAAAAAAAATCGCATATCCTCTAAAACCGTGCATAGCGCTGTTCGTACGGCATGTTACGTTCCAACATACTATAGCCGATAATATTCTCAATTTATCTTAGTTTAGCGTTGGCCGCAAGCCAATGCCGTAATAATTGTAATACAAATTGCGTACGGTTTCTAATGTACTTGAGTGTGCTTTACTATTATCTTATTGCGTGATCCTTATTCTAATTTAATTCTCTTCTATTTTTATTTTATTCTCTTTCTAATTGTATTGTGGTTTCTATAATACTAACTCGGTGAAATCTCTTCAAAAATCTTACTGTGAAGTTCTCGCAATAACAATATGGACGCACCAACATTCTTTCTGCGATGCTTGCGCCCTAAACGAAAGCCGAGGAACAGTGAATGCAAATTGTTTACCCGAAGTAGGACTGGTCGAACAACACGAAGGACAGACACGAAGAATCACACGTCGACGAAACAGGACTGGTCGCCTACGAAATACGAATATCGAAAAGCCTGGGGAGAACACGGAATAACTGCTGCTGCACGCGACCTATAGTTGGGGATCGCGTTTATATGAGTTACTAATGTTGATAACATTAATAATACTGCCGTTTGCGGCTGCTAACAATAAAACGCACAGCGTTCGATCGGCATTGCAAAAGTGAGCAGCGCAGGTATTTTGCTTGATGGTACCCCTCACATTTAATTCAAATTAATTACCGTAATTTAAACGAAGATTAAACAAGACATTATCTCTATAATATATTTAATCTTTGACAATAACTGGTGTACATAGAACGTTATTGTTGGGTCGGGACTATCTAACTATCTCCACATTTGTTTTGTTTTGTAATTAATGCTAACGCAGTTATTTTAATGGTTGCGTACTGAGGGGCCACCTATCTAACAAGTCGACACAAAGCCCGTTGAATCTCGTGCTCAGATGCTTGGTGAATGTACAGCTAACTAAGAGGCTCGTCACTGTTTGCTATATATATCGGTGAATATGTTCAGTATAAATAAATTTGTATAGATTGTTTTTTATATGCAATAAAATATATAGACCACAAATGACTGAATGGCGGCGGACATCGCCTTACCACTTAAACACTCATAATTAAACGTGCTTCTATTTCGCCTGCTATTATTTTAATTCGTTCAAGGACGGATATTGACAAGCGATTGTCATACTAGGCGTAGTTTTATGCGTTGAATAATATACATTGCGGCAATGCAATAAGTGTTTTCTCTTTATTTCTCTCTATTTTAGAGGCGTCCACTCTTGAATATTACCAGGATGATAGCTAAATAAATGCGTTTCTTTGCCAGTGTTGCAGAAACCTCGCCAGAGATCACCTTAGCGAATGAGTTGAATAACTTCTTTATGGAAAGATTTGAGGTCCCGAACGGTTCCCCAAAAAACGGTCTGATGTGCAGATTTCAAAGCATGTATCTACATTTATTCTCTAATCGTGTTAGAAACGCAGTAAAATAATTGTCCACGGCCATCACACTGTCACGATAACCATTTGTAGAGAAGTTAGGTTAATGTGATCTATTGAACTATACTACGGATTATAGAAGAGCAGCTCGAGTATTAATTCAAAGCCGATTTCATGTTAATAAAATTGCAAGAGATACAGGCGCTACTCATAAGAGCATCAAGGTTCTGAGCTTGAGTGATGATAGGCAAGTCCTATAGAGCAGTGCACTCGCAATAAAGTTCATTTTACTCATTTCCTAATCAGTCCTCCGTTGAGTATTTCTGTTCTTCGTTTTTCTTCTCCGCTGAACATCGTTGTTGCAATCATATTAACTTGCGCATAAAATTTACAATTAATTTATTTTGAAAAAAAAAAATCTGTATTATTTGGCCGCATTGAATAATATCATTGGACTTTTTTTCTGCATCGAAAACCAAAAAGTCAGAAAATAGGTGCGAAGAAAGTGCGTACAATAGAATTGCGACTCGGAACACCACAGCAGGCACAACTTGTTTTGTTCCTATATAAACGAAGCTATGCGCGGTGAACCTTCAGCATGCCGTGTTAATAATTTAGCGAATGTTTCTTTAATCTCCGATGTAGCTGCGTATGTAATGACTTCATGAGGTGTTCGTGTAAACACTTATCGCGTCTTCGCCTCGGCTACGCAGCATGTAGACATGTCTCTCCCCACCCTCTCCTCTCTCTCCTCTCTCCTCTCTCTCTCTCTTTCTCTCTCTCTTCTTTCTCCTCTCTCTCGCTCTCTCTTCTCTCTCTCTCTCTCTTCTTCTCCCTGCTGCTCTCTCTCTCTCTCTGCTCCCCTCTCCCCTCTCTCTCTCTCTCCGCCTCTCTCTCATCTCTCTCTCTCTCTCTCTCTCTCTTATCTCTCTCTCTCTCCTGTCTCTCTCTTCTTCTTTCTCTCTCTCTCTCTCTCACCCCCCCCCCCCCCCCCCCCCCCCCCCCCCCCCCCCCCCCCCCCCCACTTCCCCCCCCCCCCCCCCCCCCCCACCTCCCCCCCCCCCCCCCCCCCCCCCCCCCCCCCCCCCCCCCTTCTCTCCTCTCTCCTCTCTCTCCTCAGTACACGCTCTCTCTCTCTACTCTTCTCTCTTCTCTCATCTCTCTCTCTGCTTCTCTCTCTCGCTCTCTCTTCTCTCTCTCTCTCTCTCTCTCTGACTACATGGTCGGCTGTGGTGGTTGAGATGAGGGAGGGCGGCACTCGAATAATTGCTGTGGCTGAAGCGTAAACGAGCGGAACGAGAATTTTTCGCCTCAGTTCATTTGAACGCGTTCGAAGAATCCACGAGGCAATTATATAAACTCATCCATACTGCCACTGCCAGTCACCGACATGAAGAGTGCTGGCTCCGAGAGATCGCAACACGGCCGTCCGACTATTATCGCCCGGCACCGTAACGCACGCACGCTGCGTGACGTCAATAGCCCCGTAAGAGAGAAAAAGTTGCGGCAAATCCATGTTGTCTATCGAGCCGCGCTTACCGCTTGTGTACATATAAATGTATCAGGTGTAAGAAACAAATAATATTTGTTTGTTTGTTTTGTTTGCATTGTTTGTTGTCTCAATTAACTCTGACTGTATACACTACATACTGGAGCGTACTCCCAAACATGCACTACAGACACATTATCCAATATTATCAGGACCGTTCAAATATGATGTTTTCTAAATGATGTGTCTGATATTAACAGTAAATATATATATGTTATATATAATTATTATATAAACTGCACTCGTAATAAACCATAATTGTAACGGTTTTAGTAGCGAGCTCTTAGCTATTGCCTTGCTTGTTTGCGGAGTTGATTATCTACTTGCCTTTCGTAGGATGTCACTTGGGGCTACAGCATATACCGTATTGCATGATACCCCCACCCCCACCCACTTCATACGGGATTCACATATTTGTGTTTACACGCCGCCTTCTATACGTACAGCACTATGGGGCATCATCTTCTCGGTGCTGGCTGCGATGGCATTCGACATGAGTCGCATGTCTCCGGCATCAGAGGCGCATACGTGGCTCTCCGCCATCACGCAATACTCGTTCATCGTGGTCAGCATGTGCATGGGCCAGTTCGCCAAGCGCCGGCTCGACCAGGATAGCATCCGGACGAAGGAAGTACAGGTGCGCGTTTATATGCTGAGATATTCGTCGCCGTCGACCCAAATTATGACATGGACCAAGTGGCTTCGCGCGCGAGCGTTGTTACTATATCAGCGTTGATTAACGTGAGCGCGCCACACAATAACGCCGTCAGCGCAATCCGTTGTCGAAATTTCGCTTACCACGGATCGCGTTATTCCAAATCGAGAACGAAGCGCGATGCACATATAATTTAAATACGGGCAATAGAACGTTAGGACACGTACAGAGACGTATGCTCGCTCACGTGTTACCGTTATTTAGGCGTATATATAAGCCTAAGCAGTCGATGGCAATAGAAACAATTTTCATGTAGGTAATGTTAATGGCTTTTCCGTTCATACAGGATGAGATGCTACGCAATATCCTAAAGAAACGTAGCCAGACTGAATGGGGAAAGAATCACAATTTCGCTTCTATCTCGACTAGAGAAGAATATGTAAAAAAGCAGGCGTTAACCACGTATCCAGACTATAAGGTACGACGCTCAATAATAATTGCCTGATATTGGGAGCTAGCCAATGAAATGACTGATGGAGCTAGCCTGATGTGTAGTATATAATAAAAACCACTGCAAACGTAACATGAAGGTTTTCCTCCTGTTATATTACAGTGTATTTCATTTAGACTCTGGGCAATCGTTTATGAACGGTTTTTGGATCCCGTCACATCCGAAAAATCTGTATGCCTGATAATCTCAACTTATTGTAGTTACCGTAACTATTGTAGTAATTATTGTATATTACGTAATTACTGTAGTCACCTTAATTATGTAATACCCATAACATCGTAACAGCAGTAACGTTATTTATATCTTATTATGCATATTACAACGCTGATACTGTTATTACTCCTACATTATTGAAGTTACATAAACGATATCATCCCATATATTCGAAACGGACGTAACGCCAAACTTGTATTATTATTTTTTATATCATAACAGGCATCAACAGGTATTTTCGCGAAATGCAACACAGTATCATTAAACCTGCAACGTGCAACAGCGCGTCATCCCTAACAGTGGATCTCAAAAGCGGAAGCGGCATGCACTCACGTGAATATACGGCTGGATTTCTTTCTATACACACAGGACTCAATCGATCGAGTGATGAAGGGTGAGGTTGGAATTCTTCTCCCTGAAAAGCCGTTTTACTTCGGTGTCACATCTAGCACAAGCAGCGGATTCTCTAAAGTACTGCCGATCGATCTAGCGGCATTCAAGTCTATCGTATATACTGTAAGTAGCATGCGATTCTCTGATTGCAAGTGACATATACTGCTATAATTGCATAGGTGACCAGTCATCCCGGTGCAGTGCGCGTGCATCTACATGCGTATAAGTTTGTTCGTCGTAAACAGGCGCATCAAAACAGGCACATAAATCGCATAAGCATTGAGCGAAGTTAAAGAAACATAATGCGATATATTAAGGATCTTGGATTACTATTAAAGAGACGGGTTGGACTCGCAATAGCACTAATTTGTTGGCTCCGAATTTCGTTGTAGCTGATGGCATATATGGGGACAGTATTGCCGAAGTTTCCGCCGATTCGCTCTCTGGGAAGATCTATCCGGCTATTCATTATGCCTAGATTCCGCTATACGGAAGCTGGCATAGTTATGGGCCCTATGTCGGGCATGCCGCGAACGTTCTACGTCGGTAAGTACTATTTTAATTACGGTTACCTTGCCATCTGCGTTTAGGGAGAGCGTGACGTGAAGTCTCATTGCGCATCAATTCACTCATCTAAACTCGTAGCCCGCAAACAGGCTAGTTTACATGAATACGTTATCATATTTACTTATAGTTACTTTTTTGTGCATTTAATGTTTGCCATCTTGTGCTACCTAGATTTGTACCTGAGGACGACGACGACGCCGCTTGAAGCTATGGATATCAGCAATGAACAGCAGATGCTTTACCTGCATCTGTTATTTGCTCTAAAAGATAAGCATGCATGTAAGTATTAATAGTATATATATAACGTGCGTGTGCGTGTGCGTGTGCGTGTGCGTGTGCGTGCGGGTATAGGCCTACGTGTGTGTTCGTGCGCGAGTGCGTGCGTACGCGCATACGCGTGCGTAGACTTATTATCATAGTATCATCAGAAAACAATCATGTATATTTATATTACGTATGTATGTATGTATATGTGTGTGTGTGTGTGTGTGGCTAGGGTTCAACAAACCTTGCTACATTCAAGCAGGATGAGGACATAGTCGCAACACATGCCGGCAGCGGCATGCCAACCCCTATACCGCCCCCTGCCTCATACCCCTCCTTCCCGTGTCTCATGCCTCAACCTCTTCCGTCATTCCCGGTGTCTCATGCCTCAACCTCTTCC